ACATCTGATTAGAGCATCTGGAATTATGCTTGATTTTTTGCTAGGGAGAGGTCCGGTCAGTTTTCTACTCCCACAAGTTGTTTTCGAATAAGCCATAAGATTTAGTCACATGTTTGCCACAACTGGAGAAACGACTTAAAATCTTTCTTCTGATTGCTCTTATGTAAGAACCAAGGGTTCAAAAAAATGCACATAGTTCCCCACATTTCTCCACAGATTCATTGCATTTATGGTGCAGCTTTTATCTCATGTGGAGTGACTCAAGGCTGTATTCTTGGGACCTTTCTTTTTGTCCATTACCTTCGCCCTTTGGAGTCATTCCTAAGAAAACACATGGAGCTTTATATTTTTATCAGATGACAGATTTTTTATGCTCCAAAAAAAAAAAGGAAACACAGATTGTAAAACATCTGCTTGAATGCATTGTAGAAATCAAGCCACAGTGAGTGCTTTCCTTAACCTTGAACAAATAAAAGATAAAGGTCGTGTATTTGGGGCTCAGTGATGTGTTTAGTGTCAGCGTTTACTTTAGTCTATGAATGAGACAAGACAGAGACCAGTGTAAGACTGGACTTTGATCTTAACATTCGTGCTCAGATTAAATCAATGGTCAGAACAGCTTTTTCAAACTGGGAACAGTAGCCAAAATAAAAAGAATAAACAAGACATTACTCCTACCAATTACTTTTATTTGCTTTTAAATGTCTTGCTGGCATTGCCCCTGAGTATCTGGTTGGCTGATCAATTTTTATGAGTTGTTCCAAAGACATTTCAGTCGTTGGCTTTTATGGCCTGATTTTTTTTTTACATCTTTGCCTGGTTATTTTATTTTAGGCTTTTAATTATTAGCTTTTTAGAGAGTCTAAAGCATTTAAGCAAACTGAGTTGTATCTTGATCAGTATAAAAAACAAATTTTATGTACTACTTTAAATTTAAGTGTGACTGTGATGGTTTATCACAAAAAATCTCAATAAATCACAGAAAGTTTGGAGTACTCACAAGTTCAGGGGTTAGGAAGACTTTGTAAATCGTTCGATTAGTTAGTTTAGCAAGGCCATTACTGCAGGCGCTTCTGACTCACAATTAACTGAGATCAAATGAAAATCTTGTCTCTAAGCAACATTATCTCATGAGGATATTTGACCCTCTGGCAGGCATAAAAATAGAGGAACATAAAGACATTCAACTAGCCATAGCTAATTTTTTTTAACTAAAGATATAAAGATAGAAATGCTCTGGGGGAGAAAATAACAGTTTGTGAATCAGGTCGTGTGTGTTTGACATTTGTTCGGCGCTCTCTGTCAGTTTGATGCGCCTGCACGGATGTCTGCTCTCTTGGAGCGTCATTGAGGTGCTGGTCCATAAACGTTCGGCCGTGACTCTGGCTCCCCAGTGGGCCGCGGAGCAGTGGCTGATGGGTAGATGATCTGAGCCACACAGCTGCTGCCGTTCAAGGTGAGCCGCCCTGGGCGCATAAATCTGCATGGCTAATGAGGAGCGGCCGCAGAGGGCCCACTTAGAACCATTAAACCAGTTTTGTGCTGTGTAAGAGTGAGCGCTTTTTAACAGGGAGATGCAACCTGAAACAAACTAAGGGACTGCAAGGAGAGAAGAGTTCAGGGGATGCATGCTTTAAAAGTGTGCAAATCAGAGGGGTCAGATTGTCTCTTTAGCTCTACATTTAGGGGAGTATAACTCACTCATTATGGGTGCTTTCAGTCACAAATATATTATTTTAGGGCTCCTCCTGGTTGCATAATATATCATGATTTCTCTCTTTGGGTCTTAGCTAATGGAAGAAGGCAGATGTTTTTTTTCACCTATTGAAAAATTCCTGTGTAGATTTAGCCATGCATTCACTCAACATTTCCAAATATTTCATCATTCATCATGCAACCCACTCTAGCAAGGTTCCCATGTGCTGTAGAAGAAAAAAAAACAACTCAACAGCATCAAATATCCTCCACATTACTTAGATTTCAGCAAACTCTATGTCTTTATGCCTGTGGTAGTAGAAAAGGAGTAGTTTGGCATCATTCCCAATAAATCAGCTCAAATGTGGTGACTAATGGTTAATATTAAGACTAGTTGACCCCTTTTTTTTCCAAATATCTGAGCTTTTGTTGATTTTTCTACATTTCTTGCCATTTTCAACAGAGTGAAAGATAAACTTGGCTTCTCGTTCAGCTTACTGGACACGCTGAGCCATGTGAAAGCCGCAGATTAACATTTTAAACAAAGATTATTGGTATCCAGTAAACACTGCATTTTTAAATATTTTTCTACTGTGAAAATAAGTTCCTGTATTATGTTTTTTATTTGAAACCCACATTGACCGGGAGTGATAATAAACGACGCTGTAGTGCTCATATCGCTTAATGCATCTGCCTCTTTACCGTTTTCTCCTTGTGTATTTTTCATCTTTGTAATCATAAACCGTGTGTATTCCAGCTCCTCGCCACCACAGCTGCTGTATATCCCATCTGGCTGTCAGTGACGAACGACTCTCTAAAACGCTAGTCTGCAAGTTAGATGAGATACCACGCTGTGATCGATTGCTTCTGTCTGTATTCTCTCCTAATGTGACCGTTTCCTACCTCCCCTACTTTTATTAAATTTCCTCTTATCCTCTTTATCCGCTTAGGTTCGGAGTTCTGCTTTCGCAACTTCACCAGCCCGTCCGGCATGATTGAGTCCCCAGGGTTCCCGGACAAATACCCGCACAATCTGGAGTGCTCCTACATGATCATGGCCCCGCCCCACATGGACATCACCCTAACCTTCCTCACGTTCGACCTGGAGAACGACCCCCTGATGGTGGGCGAGGGCGACTGCAAGTACGACTGGCTGGAGGTGTGGGACGGCCTTCCGCAAGGTGAGCCGAACAAACCCGGGGAGATGAATGGACACGCACGCTTTGAACATTTACACTCCATATCCACTGACTCATGCAATCCCCCCAACGTTCCTGTGAGTGAATTTGCATACCGGCCTTCAATTTCCTGAGCTGCCATCACTCTCTTTGATGTGAGCTGCCTTTCCTTACTTTCCATTACATTCCATAGAGTAAACTCTATTTCACAGAGGGAGCTCAAAGCGCCTCGATGACCCTGAGGAGCAGGCCTTTCCCAGGGTCCTCTTCCCCTCGCCATAATAACACTCTTCATCACCCTCCCCGCCCTCCCTTCTTATCACCTGGCACTTCCTTCCTCCCCAGACGAGTGAGAGTGACGGTGATGAGTATCAACAGAAGTAGACGCAAAACAAAAACATTTCAGGATGTCGTCCTGGAGCTTTATTATGCAGAAACCTCTAAAAAAAAAGGGAAATATGGCCTCTTAGAAATTGAAACAATTTGAAGATCCAATCATTATAAGTTAGTTGAGTTTTAATTAATAATTTTGACTTTTCTGGTCTTAGTTTTGCTGTTGAAAGTCACTTTAATAAGATACTTTTGTCATAATTCTGACACCAAAATAAGAAATGGATGTCTGTATCTGAAAAATATGTACTTTAAATAAAAAAAATATGATTTTGATCATAAATATAACAAAATATTTTGATTTTTCAAACCTTAAATACTGACCAGACTGCAAAGTTAATGCTAAAGGTTGACTTATATTAAACCTATGACTTTGGAGGTTTTTTTGTTCTGTTTTTAAAAGTTGAAATGCACTTTTATGCTTAAGTAGTAACTATCAAAGGTTAACGCGGAGCTTTTAAAAGCTGAGTTGGAGGTGGTGAGGGATTCATTTCTCACTTCTCTTCTCCTTTTGCTTCCCTCCAGAAACACAAAGCTAGGACCAAAGGATTTGCTCTAATTATATTCTTTTCTGTTGCTAAAAAGGGATCCGAGCGGATTTAAAATTCCAATTACGGTGTCAAATTTAAGGACTTTGATAGCTAAAAACAATTTATAGCATTCAAAGTTGAGAATTAGGAGCAAATTAAAGTGTAACCCAGTTCCAGGGTGCTGAGTCCTCGGGCGGGAGACGAGGCGGACGGGTGAAAGAATTTAGCGTCTGGCGCAGGAGGGGTTGTCTTGAGACTATTTTAATCTCGCTGCGTGTTTGTATGTGAGTGTATTTGTACTCATCTGCAGCTGATCCCAGTGCAGCTTGCATGTAGGCAGGGATTCCAGTTCCCCTGCTGGGATCTGGCCGAGACACACATGGCAGATGGAGGGATGGACAGGAAAGTAAAGGGAGAGTTTGGAATGATAGCAGGAAGCCATGTGGGGGGGAACGCTGTGACTCATTAGGCAACACTCACTGAAGTACAAATGCTACTGGAAACCTTTGAAGTAAGAAAAAAAAAATGAATAAAGCAAAGGGTTTAATCTTTTTTTTTTTATTTGTCCTCAGCTTCGCCTCTGATTGGCCGCTACTGTGGGACAAAGATCCCCCCTGAGATCCAGTCATCCTCCGGCCTGCTGTCCCTCTCCTTCCACACAGACATGGCTGTGGCCAAAGACGGCTTTTCTGCACGCTACAACATCACCCACAAAAAAGTCTCCGACTGTGAGTGCAGGATAACTCCTCCTGACTGTGTGCCGGTGCACCATATATCTCAGTTTTTTTTATCTTACCCTCCTCTCACCCTCTCGATATTCTCAGCTTTGCCTCCTTTAATGTTATTTTAGGTTTCAAGCTTCTACTTCTCTCCCCTCAGCACATTGTGCTCCTACCCCAGAAACAGACTTGTGTTCTTTTTCGTTTAGAGCGTAAATTAACTTCCCCCTAGTTCACCTCAGCTCACCTGCTGCTCTCTGCCTAATTATGCCCTTACAGTTTCAGTTCCTTTCAAACATTCACACCCCTTGAACACCTTTCTCTCGTTACAACCAAAGTCTACCTCAAACCTTGTAGGAAACAAGTGGAATAAGGAATAATATGGTACTAAAACTGGAAATTCCAACATGCAAAAACTAAAACTGAACATGCAAAACACAATAGTTGAATGCAAATTGAAGCATAACATACCTGCTGTGAAACATGGTTGTACAGAATATGCTGAATTTTTAAAACAATGCGCTTTTGGTGGAACACAGTAGTGGTAGCATCATGCTGTGGGTGTTAGTAGCCAGTCAGAGCACAGGGGCATGTGAACCCACCTTTACTTCCTCCTCACAGTTACATCCTTTCTGTGGTTTTGACGTTTAAAGGGTTTAAATACTTTTTTAGTCTTTCTTTCAGCATTAGGGAAATCGTATCTTACCTCCCTTTTTCCACTTTTCTTTTATGAATCATTGTTGCCTCATTTCCCTTCCTCTCTTTTAGCATTTCACTGTAGCCTGGCGCTAGGCATGGAGTCGGGAAAGATCAGCGACGACCAAATCTCCGCTTCCACCACCTTTTACGACAACCGCTGGTTGCCGCGGCAGGCTCGCCTCAACAACGACGACAACGCCTGGACGCCCGCAGAGGACAGCAACAAGGAGTTTATACAGGTGTTTATTTGCAGACATATTTATCGTTTTATGTATAATACCAAAGCAAAAAACAGCTTGAATAAAAGCTCCATCTATGACGTGACCTTAAAGATCACTTTGTTGGGGATAATAAATTTGTCTGGGGGAGGATTTGATGGAATACACAACAGTATCTTATACACACTTGTATACACACACACACGGGAAATAGAGGAACTGTAAAGCGATGATAAGGAAGTTCTTCTGCACTTTCAATCTTTCCTGTCTCCAAACACGCAAGCGTATTCATGAAGCGAGGGGAGCAGCGAGACGCCTGTGATTGATGAAGGTGCTCTCCTGGAATTCATCCCAACACCGTGCCATTGATCTTTACTTCCCACCTCCTTCACCTTATACACATGACAATGTGCATACATGCTCTCCCCGGTTTTCCTCAGCAGTAGGGTGCTCTCTGCAGCTAATTCCTGCTGTCTGGGAGACAGCTGCAGGAACACCTCTGGTATCTGCATCAGTTTTCTCTCTTTGAAATAGGTTAGTTAATAAATTACAGATGCAACTGCTGCTGTTTCATCCATTTCATAGGCAACATTTGCCTAACTCAGTGACCTTTCTTTTTTCTGTGACGTGCAGCTTAAACAGAGTTTTGTAGAGGCCATTTCTCAATGTGTGTACTTGTGCGCTCTTGTGTGATCGTGAAACGCCCTTGTACTGTTTAAACTCACAAGAACACAAGACCGAGAACAGACAAAGTCCCTGGATGGTGGTCCGTTCTCGAGATTTCCCAGCATGCACTGCAGCAGCAGCTTACAGTGGAGCGCTCACAGAGCCTAAGAGTAATGTAGTAATAAAAAAAGTAATAAAAGTAAAATAAAGTAGTGAAAAGATTGCTTTTTTGTTGTCGTTTTAAGATAATTTGAGGTGAGAACATCATACTTTTAAGCCTCACTATATGGCCCATTTACTGATTTAATGCATAATTTAAAAAAAAAGCTCTAATGTTGTGTTGACCGTGGCAACCAGCGCCCTTTCTGAGGGTAACCGCAGCCAGGGCCAACGTTAGCCCGTCTGCAGCAGCCCTCTCTCAGCATAGCCTTGTGTGAATTATCGCTGGTTCTGATGCCGATTTTCTTTTTTTTTTATTTGGCACAATGTTGATTTGATTTGTGTTTATCTGACTGTGTTAATTATTATTCCCCCACTAAAAGAAAAAGTAAGGATTTATTATTATCTATAGACTTGGAGTTGAAATGCAGCTCCAGATGAGCCAAGCATGTGGCTTCTGTTCCAATTGACCCATATTTATTCTGCATGCTGCCATTCTCCCCAAGTCCATACTTTCCTATGTTCTTGTCAAGAACGTACTTGGCGAGAACACGAGTCCGTGTTCTTTTAAATTAAGAAACGGACAGAATTTGACTAATTTCCTGTTTTTTTGTTTTTTATTTCAGGTTGACCTCCACTTCCTCAAGGTTTTGACTGGGATATCCACCCAGGGGGCCATATCCAAAGAAACTCAGAAGTCTTACTACGTCACAACCTTTAAACTGGAGGTCAGCACCAATGGAGAGGACTGGATGGTGTACCGGCACGGCAAGAACCACAAGGTTGGTCTTTATCATACACAGCTGCTTTTTAGGAAATCAACTGTACTGGAAGAGGTCTGCTTTAAGAACCATAATTTACTTTATGTTGAAGGTATTTTTCTTTACTTGACATTAATTAAATAGTGAGCAGCTCAGCCTAAACTTTACCACCTAAATTACAGATGTCAACCTCCAGCCCCCAAACGCAGGTGGTTCTTTAAAGCACCAGGAATCCAGTAATTATATTGTTAGCTAGACTTTGATTACTAGCTTAGAATATAGCCGTCTCACATTTTACATTAAACCTTACTAATGCCAGAGCAGCGTACCAAAAACCAAGCAGAGAGAATTGACGTAAGATAGGCACATAAGAGGAAAATTAAGTCAGACTGATGTTGGTTAGTTTAGTATTTCCACAGGAAAGATTAACAAGTTAATGATGAGGATATGAGAATAGAGTAGGTTGATAGAACAGTGTTTTTACTGAGTAGGATGTGGGGGCTGCTCAGCGGTGCAGTGGGTAGCACTTGCAGCAAGAAGGTTCCGGGTTCAATTCCCAGCTCGGGGGCTTTCCGTATGTTTTCATGTTTGTGTGTTCTCCCTGTGCATGTGTGGGTTCTCTCCAGGCACTCTGGCTAAAAACATGACTGTTAGGTTTATTGGTTTCTCTAAAATTCTCCTTAGGTGTGAGTGTGTGGAATGTTTTTTTGTCTTGTTTGTCTCTGTGTTGCCCTGCGATAGACAGCACCCCTCAAGACCCCAGCTGGAATAGAGCGTGATGGGGGAAAAAAATGGAAGGATGTAGGGAATGATGGCCAAATAATTAGAGTTTTCCTTAACAAATAGGTGAAATGTGGATAAAAAATTAAGTCATTATTAATCATTTCCTTCCTTTCAATCGTTGCAGTACTGCCTCCATAAAATCTTTTGTAACTGCATGACGTTGTTTTGCTTTTACATCTAAAAATCTCTCTTGTAAGCAAACCGGATTAACTAAAGGAGTAAATTTCCTTATACCTGAGCAGGACGTAGAGCGACCTGATGATATCTCTTTTTGCAACACAGTTGGAGGAGTTTATTAAAGAAAAAACATTAGCTCCATTATTTATTCTTTCACTTTTAATGTCTCTTTAGATTTTTTATCAATGATTATCTCCAACAGAAACCTTTCAATGTATTAGTTTGTTTCCCTTTAAACTAGAGACTGTGTGTCTGTACCGTACAGAGTTCGCTGGCAGCTAAAGGTCTATTTTTTAACAGTACATTTATTCCGCTGCTGTGGCTTATTGCTCAGCAGCAAAGCCAGTCCTGTTCCAGGAGTCATATCAACAGATCCAACGTTCCCATAGGAGTTGTTCCCCTTTCACAACCGTTTGTGAACCTGTGTCATGACCCCGGTCACAAGGCAGAAAGATGAGAGAAAGACAAGTAAAACATGCAGAAGGAGGGATAGATGGGAAGAACAGGAACAATGAAATCCTCTGTTGTCTTATCTGTGTTTTCCATTCATGATCTCTCAGGCTAATGTTCATAAACAGACACCTGTGCTTGTGAAACCTTTGGAGTCTTGCCAGGTGCAGATTTGGACGATTCTTTGTATGATGTTGTTCAGTGCTTTAATGGAGCCATATATGTTTTTTTTTTTAGTTTATATTCTGCATAGAGTGGAAGCTGCTGTGTGACCACATGTCTCTTGGGGGAGTCTTTTCCCTTCATTTAGGCTTAAAGTCATTGCGGATTTTAGGCAGAGTGAAAGAAAGGAGGCGGTGGGGTTAAGAGGGGGACTTAATCCGCAAAGACTAACCCGTACGGACCCGAGTCCCCCCCCCTTGTGCGTGACTGTGATTGGTTTGGGTGTTGCCAGTCGGTGGTATTTGATGTAGAGATTATTGAGAAAAATGTGGATTTGCCTTAAAAGTCAACATCTGTGTAATTTATTAGAGCCCCCAGATGTCCCCATTCCCTCCACAAGCACAATCCCCTTCAATCCAAAGACACCCCCCACCCCTCTACCCATCTAAATAACCTCTGGCTGATCTTTCTGTCTGGAAATGTGCGTGCTAGAGCATAAATATATATATAAATAAATATATAGAGTTTGCAGGTCTGTCTGTGTTTTTGTAATCTGATTCCTTTAATCTGTTGTTGTAAAGAACCCCCCCTTCATATTTAGAAACATTTAGACATAGATTCAGACAGATCCATCAGCAAGCATTTGGGATGGATATGATAGGCTTTATAAAAATCGTTTTTAGCTTTTCTAATGCAGGAGAGGGGCAGGATGACTCAGGAAGATCAATAAAAAGTTAGCAAATTCGTAAAGTGTGGTTTTTAAAAGGGAAATGTAGATGGTGATCAAACCTCATTTTGTGTAGCTCCAAGCAGAAAACATGGAAGTTCTGCCTTTCATAGCCACACCTCATTATATAAGCTCCGTAAAATGTAACAGATGACATGTGTTTTTGATGAAAAGAAAGAAATGATGACAGTTTTAATATGGACCCCATGCTTGATGTGACGGTCATGTTAGGATTTAAAACCATTTATTGGGGATTCATGCCTGAGTATCATATTTTACAGCATAAATGTTTTTTTTTTTTTTAAGAATCCTGCTTTGGGCTTAACTAGATTCCAATCCAGAATCGGGCTTTGACTAGGCCTTCATGTATGTAATGACATCAAGACATAAATCTAATGATCTGCTAAGGATGATTGCTTTGTTCCCTTATCTGTTTTTAAACTTCTTTAGATGAGGACATATTTGTTTTGTTTGTTTGTTTGTTTAAATTGAAAACGTTTTGCCTACTTCAAGCTGTCAGACAGGTTCTATAGCAGTGGTTTATTGAAATTAATTGTTCAAATGTCTGCGAGTAATCAGGCTATTAAAGCTGAACTTAAATATTAAGTTTATGATCTGAAAGCTTTTTTTCTATTATGTTTTGAAGCAGCTGTTTTTCTGAGTCCCATGATTTGTCTTCCTCTAAAAATAAAGCTTTAGATCCTTATAGAAATTCTTTAACATTACAAAAAAAATCAATGAAATCTGTAAGGCCCAGTCAGTTCGAAAGATTTTCTGCGTTTTGACCCAATATACTAGAGTTTTATCTTTACCTCACAATTAGGCTTACAATGATCAATAAGCTTGGATTTCCTACATTAATTTTCTATATTTAAATGTCTTCAGAGGGCAACTGAAAGCAGTACTAACAGCGAACATATGCCGCAATTTTAGAACCATTGCTCAGGCATTTTTATATTGAAAGATATCAAATTTCAGTAAATGGACATATTCAACAAATCACACTCAAAAGGGATGTTTAGCCATTTTGAGTATTGTTCAAGTGTTGTTGGTCAGGCCAGTCGACGTCCCCCATGGGCCACGGCTGAGTCTTCCGTGACTACTAATCCACCAGACGTGCTGCACAAGCCCCCTGTTAGCCTGTCCTAAGCCCCCCCAAAGAGCCTTAAGTGGTTGAAGCTCAGTTCTCGTCGGGGGGTCCTGTAATGACTGGGATTTGCTTCTTCTAATTGTGATTTAACAGTGAGCTTTATATAAACGTGGCTTATAAATCGCGCCTGCGTCCTTGAGTGTATTTCATGTGCGAACGGTTGATTGGCGAGTGTGCCAACCGATATGAAATCGGCATGAATAAAAGAAGCAGCTCTCCAATCTTCAACTCTTTAGTTTCTGTCAGAAAAAAGGGAGCATTAACTGTAATAACAGGTCAGATTCAGACACAAAACAAGGGATTCACAGCATACATATAACTGTTCCTTATGTAAACAGACGCTACAACAAGAGAATAAAAGCACATTCATGAATCAGCCTCTAGAATCCCACTCAGAATCAGCCTTTATGCATTTGTGATTCCTTTTCACAGATTTCCCGCATGCCAACACAATCTCAGTTTAACGCTCATGTGACTTGTTAAATCAAAGTCACACGGCTCACATATGCACCTCATTACTTGATGAGATGCTAACTCACCCGGGAATTGCATTTCTCAAAAACGCACTCATACTGTAAGATACATGCATGCAACCTTTTTTTTTTTACTCTTTTTATTTTGCTTTCCAACACAGACACCTGAGTGTGTCCACACTAATTAACATGAAAAACACACACTGTCATCTGTCAGCGTCTGTGAGGGAAGGTCCCAGCAGCCTCTGGTGCTAAACAAGCTTTGTGTTGTTGAAAAGTGTCGTGAGGTTGTGCTAAATTTGTCACACGCATCAAGTAACCCTGAGCAAGGAAATAGGGGGGGAATAAAAAGAAAAAACAGCCCACACAGCATTTCAGCCTGTTCATCCCATCACAATATGCTGCAAAGCCACAGAACAAACAAACATACAAGGCTTTGTTTGCACGCTCATACATAATGCAACATTCATAATTAAATTTGCATTGGCATACAGGTGCAGTTAGTGACAGTTATAAACATCTGCAGCAAGGCTTGACCAAAGGTTTTCAGTTAAACCTTCATCCACACTCTGATTATATTTCCTCTCTGTGTTTTTACTTTATGGAGTCGCAAAAGGGAATTTGATGTGGGCAAACTGGCTACATATCAGCCTGAACACATCATACCAGCTGTTAGGCATGGTAGTGGGATCATCATGCTAAGGGAAGGTGCAAAGGACTGGAGACTCATGAAGTGGTTTAACTTTCAGTAGTAGCTACACTGGAAATGTTTTGAGCTTTTCAGGTTTCATAAATTTATTTTGCAAATGATCATTATTATTCTTATACTTCACTGCTATGTGCTGGTATGTGTAGCTTAAAACATAATATCCATATCAATCCATTTTTGTTAACGCTTATCCTTAGCGAGGCCAATTAACCTAACAGTCATGTTTTCGGACTGTGGGAGGAAGCCAGAGTACCTCGAGAGAACCCAAACATGCTCAGGGAGAAAATGCAAACTGCATGTAGAAAGACCCCGGGCTTGGAATCAAACCCCGAACCTTCTTGCTGCAAGGCAGCAGTGCTACCCACTGTACAAGGAACCCATAATATCCAT